TCCATCCATCTATCCATCCTCCATCCATCCATCCATCCATCCATCCATCCATCCATCCATCCATCCATCCATCCATCCATCCATCCATCCATCCATCCATCCATCCGGCTCTTTCTTGACTAAAATTTGAACATGATTTATATAAAAAAAACAACAACTTGGTTTTAAATAGTAAAAAAAAATAATTCAACCTTTATTTAGACAGGTTAATCACATTGAGCCTCGTGAACTCATTTACAAGAGAGACCTGAAATGGATTAGAATAATGGATTAGAAAATTCGAAAAATGGATTAGATAAATGTGACGTTTGTAATTTTCCTAAAGGATACATGTTTGTAAAACTGACGCATGAGCTGGGAGAAAAAGAGTAGCATTTGCAAATTTTTAATGACATTATGAAAAACTTCAAGGCTTTCTTTACTTTTCTTAAAAGTAAAGGATTAGAACAGCATTTTTGATACATTTCTGTTAGTGGTTTACTTTTTTAAAATTGACCTTAAATTACATTTCAGTTATCTATACATAGATTAGTGCCTAAGTTTTGTTTCTGTGCAGTGTCCTGAGACAACTTCTGTGTGACTTTATACATAAAATGAAATTAATTGAATTAAGTCGAGCACTTGTGAAATTTGAAACAAATTGTGAAACACAAGCTATGATTGTGTGAGAAGAGTTAATGTGGCTTTTACTTGTTTTTAAATAAGAACATCATCTAATAGGCCAACAACAAATATATTTTGAAATGCATAAAATTGTATTAGTTCTGTAATAACACTCAATAACAGTAGAGGGCGCTAAAACCTCTCATTTTCTGCTGATGTAAAAAAAAAATAAAGAAGCGTTTAAACATTTGTCACTTTTTAAAATTAGCCCTCAAACAAATTTAACTCATATTTGTTGAAAGACTGTGGAAAAAAAATAAAATCTGCTTGTAATTAATGAATATAAACACATGTAGGCTTGTATTTATAATAAAAGTTGCCATATTTGCAGTGATTTCCTTTTAAAACCTTTCAGGAGCTGAATTGAATCACTGGAATCTTTTCTGGTTCGAGCGTTGCTTAGCTTTTTTTAGGAGCGGTAAAATAATCAGCATCAAGCCTTAATAAGTTAATAAACCTTTATAGTTTGTTTCAGGAAGTTTATCAGGATGAAGTCTGGATGAAATAATGAGATGAGACATTTGATGAGTTTGTGATTCTGACTGATTAAGCAGGGCGCTGTCTGATAATCAACGACCTTATCAGTCTGTTTCTCTCATTCTTTATCTTATCTACTTTTATTTTTTCATGACACCTGAGATCAAGGTTGTTGGAAATGATGATCTTCATTTTTCTCTCTCACCACCGTTAATACCTTCAGCCTGAACATTCAACCCAAGCCTTTATTTTATTCATAAATAATGAAGAAAGATGCCGGCAACTTCCCCACAATTAGCTTTAAAAATATCAGTTTTTATTAAAAATGAGTATTAAAAACTAATGTGAAGCGATGACTCAAATATTTCTAGCTATTGGCACTTCATGTTACATGTTTCTTTGTTTTTATTGTTGTATAAAATAAAAATATAAGACTAAACAGAGTCGATGTGCAAAAATCACTAAATATTCTTCAGGTTAGTCGAGCCTCAGCTCAGAAACCTCCAGTAAAACTTTTATACAAATCTGTTCAGATGAGTTTAGCAATGCTTCTAACAATCCCAGAAATAAAAGTTTAAATGATTAAAAAAGTAAGTAGGAGTAAGAAATTAGAATAAATAGCAATAAATGCAAAATGTCTTTATTATACGACAAGAAGGTTATAGATATCGAAAGATAAATTAGAGAAATAAAACTGAAACTTCAGCTAAATTCTGTGAACGCTGAATGATTTTGCACAAATGTGCTGAAGCAGCTGAAACTGAATGGGCAAAATAAAATAAAAGACTAAAGAAGAAGAACACAAGCTAAAGCTTAAAGGAGCAAAGGAGATAAAACCAAAAAGTAAATGCATCAAAAGCCTAAGAGCTAAAGGCAGCAGAAAGGGTAAAAGCTAAAAGTACCAAAAAGCTAAAAGTAGCTGAACTGACAGTGTGCTGAAGCAGGCTTCAAAGAGAACAATGCTTTCGAAGGTATTGAAGACGTCTCAGTATATTTTTACGTTTAAAATGAAATGTTTGAAAAATGTATAAAAGTTACAAAAACCTAAAGTCACAGCTCCCCGGACTGAGCCGAACACTTGTGCACAGCTAAAATAGCACCGCAGAGTCAAACTATTCAGGGATCATTTTATTTTTATTTTTTTTGTTTTTCATTTTAAATCAAAAGCGTTTTGCAGCACAACCTTCTGAAAACCAGCAGGCCGTCATGCTGCACAGATTAACATGTTATATTGTGAATATTAAGAACAAAAATTCCTTCAAACCATCAGAAACCTGCGAGAGAACCTCTGCCAGGATTGTTGCATGAGACACATTTATCTGCATTTATTTCGTCTGGACACTAAAACATTTTAGTGTTTATCAGAGAAATAAAACCAATCAAAGCTCCAGACCATCAGTTCTTCCTCTTGTTCATTGGTCGGAGTCGGATCGCCCACAGTGAAAGCGCTCGTCTGCTTTATGATTGAGCCATAAAGCAGCTATATAAACCTAAAACCAGAAGGTGGACTCAGCGGAGAGCGACGGGACCAAAGGGTGAGTTCAGCTTCTCCGTCCTCAGAAACACCTTCAACCTGCTGCTCTCATTTCTATTCAGGAGCAGATTTTCTGCTTTTATTGTGAATTTTAATTCCGTATTTATCTAATTACATATAGATATAAGGAGCTGTTGATGCATTATTAAATGAAATTTAATTGAAAGTGCATTCTGAACCATCAGACTGAATGGATTATAAAGGCAAGAATATTTATTATCACCATGAGAAGGAAGAATTAAAACTTGTGCCACATATTTTGTGTCTTAAATATTAGCTGTGAGTTTTGATTTGGACTTATTTTGTGTTAAAGCTGAAAAGGTTTTTGTTGTGGGCAACTCCCTTAAAAACAGCAAGGACACTTTTATCTCTAATATTTTTAATATAACCTAACGTGCTTTACCAAAGGTGTAAAAACTCCCATTTGATGAGTAAAGCGTCCAACAGTCGGTGTGTTTTGTTGCAGATGAAGCTGTTCGTGTTGCTGCTGCCGGCCCTGCTGGCTCTCTCCTCCGCCTCCCTGCAGGAAATTGTCAAAAAGCGAGTCCAGCATCGAAAAGGTAAACACGTTTTTGATTTGAAACGTGGTGAAACTTGCCATAAAATGACATTTAGAGGCCTCAGTAAAAACTCAGAAGGCATGCGGGTGACATTATTGAGCAACATGAATTAAAATAAAAGCCAAGCATTCTTTGACACGTGGGAGGAGGAGAATAATCAGGGCTGACCCGTCACAGTTTATAGTGTCAAGTGCACCTGAGACCTGAAAAACATAACGCCTTCTGTTAAACCCAGAGCCTGAATGTTCACGTTACTATTTACATTTGGACCTTGGTGTCGACACATCTGTGTTTTGTTTCCATCGGTCTCGTGGTCCAAGTGGTCCAAGTGGTCCAAGTAGTCCAAGTGGTCCTGCACTGGTGCAGCCATTGAAGTGTGAAACAAAAGCAACAGTCTACAACAGAACCCGTACAGTAAAAAGATGATCATAACAAATGGGCACCCCAACTGAAACATAAAAGCCTTATCAGACTTTCAAACTAAAAGATGAATGCAAATTGTGAGAACCTTAACAAAGCCACATGTAAAGTACGAACGTAAAGTATGAGTATGAAATCAAACGTAACAAAGTTTATCCTGAACTATAGCGGTGCAGTTTCAAAACGTTCACTCAAGTAGTTTTCTGAATATGATATAAAAGTTTGAAATGCAGGTCCGCACTCAACGTAAACAAAGCACTCGGCTGAACCCGCCTAAAACCAAGTGGAAGCTCGAGTTACATGTCTGACCTCCAGCAGGAAGTAGCCTGTGTAGGTAAACTAATATGGCGGAATGGACCAAATGTAAAATCTCAGAGAAGACGATTAGGTGGAAATAAATCTGCTGCTAAACGTCAAAAAAAGGAGGAAAGAACGAGAAAGACAAGAATCATTTTCAGTGATAGAGGTTGTTTCAACCGGTCTTCAGACGTTTTATATAATACCTTTAACCATCCGTCCATCCGTCCGTCCATCCGTCCATCCATCCATCCGTCCATCCATCCGTCCGTCCATCACCTTCGACTTATTCCGAAGTTGGGTCGCGGTGGCAGTAGCTTGTCTCTAACATCTCCGGGTCTTCCCCGGGGTCTCCTCCCAGTCGGACATGCACGAAGCACATCCCAAGGGAGGCGTCCAGGGAGCATCCTTAGATGCCGGAACCACCTCAACTGGTTCCGCCCGATGTGGAGGAGCAGCAGCTGTACTCCGAGTCTCTCCTGGAGAACTGAACATCTCAGCCTACCTCTAAGGGATAGTCCAGCTACCCGCCTGTATCCACGATCTCATTCTTTTGGTCACTACCCAGAGTTCATGACCATAGGTGAGGGTAGAGTCTACCGGTCAGTCTTCCCAGTAGACTGACCGGTACAGAGAGCTCTGCCTTACAGCTCAGTTCCCTCTTCACCACAATGGACCGTCCGCAATACTGCAGATGCTGCACCAATCCGTTTGTAAATGTCACGCTCCATTCTTCCCTCACTCATGATCAAAACACGAAGATACTTGAACTCCTCCACCTGAGGCAGAACCTCACCCTCGACTCAAAGAGAACAACCTTTAACCACATTTTCTTTTTCTCTTCAATGCAGTTTCGTTGCTGAACCCAGTACTGGAGGACCAGGTCCCTGAAGTAAGTGGTAGCAGCGTCGTGTCTGCTCCTCTGGTTCCTGCGGACCTGGAGCAGCAGCAGGATCTGCCTTCGTCCTTCCTCTTCGGCGATAACGTGAACCTGGAGTGGCTGACCTGGGACGGCTCTCTGCCCAATGGAGCCATTTCCATCTACAACGGCTACACCAAGCGCACCGACTACGTCTGCAAGTACAAGTGTGAGGCCGGTTTCTACAACCCCAGCCTGGGCCCGTACTGCAGATACCCTTATGGAGAGCGAGAGTACTATGCCCCCGAGTTTGAGATCCTGGCCAACAAAGACAACTTTGAGTTTCTGGAGTGGAAAGAAGACTCCTACGGTTCTGTTCCACAACATTCAGTGAAGACCTGTGCAGGTGTTGGTATCTACGTTGGAAAGAATAAGTATGGGCTTGGAAAGGTTGTTGCTCAGTTTGAGGCCTTCTTCTTGCCCTGGGAAGGTGACGAGTACTGGTACAAGAAGTACCAGGTTCTGACCATCAACAGGGATGTCTACAGCCAGCACATCACCGACGTCAAGTACGCCATCGACGAGGTCGCCATCTTTCAGTATCCTCCTGAAACCATGCGCATCTCTGGAGTCACCAACAACGAGTGCCAGGCGATCACCAAGACAGTCACCATCTCCAAGACCTCAGAGACGGAGACCACCTGGAGCATCGGCCGAGCCACCATGCTAGGCATCACAGGCAGCATCACAGCCAAGATCCCCCTCATCGGCTCCGGTGGCATCGAGCTGAGCGGCGAGAAGACGCTGCAGTTCTCCAGAGGAACCACCGTCGTAGAGTCCATCAGCCACTCCGTGTCCGTGGAGCTCACAGTCCCACCAAACCACATCTGCAGGGTCCACATGGAGGGGCGCAAAATCAAAGCCGACATCCCCTACACAGCTCGGCTCAGCAGAACGTACCGCAACGGAGAGACCCAGTGGACCTCCATCTCTGGAACGTACGATGGCGTCCAGATCGGAGAGGTCCGGGCCGTGGTGGACCGCTGCGAACCTGTGGCTGATGCTCAACCCTGCCCTTGAAGGACTCATGGCGATAATTTTAAACATCATGACGTGTCAGAATAAAACCCATGTCACCAACATGACTGGCAAATAAAAGCTTTTGTGTGGGTTGTTGTCTGAAAATAACTACATAATAAAAACAAGTTAAAACCCAACTGCTGTACAATCTTTTCAGTTTTATTTCTGTATGATAACTATTTCATCCACCCATCCATCCATCCATCCATCCATCCATCCATCCATCCATCCATCCATCCATCCATCCATCCATCCATCCATCCATCCATCCATCCATCCATCATCTTTTACCCGCTTATTCCTTTTTGGGTCGCGGGGGTCACTGGTGCCCATGTCCAGTTGTCACTATACGAGAGGCGGGGGACACACATGATTATTATTATTCCAAATAAATATTTAAGGTAGAAAAAAATGAAAAGGCTTAAAATTTAACGTTCTTATATTAAAAAAAAAGTTTCAAAAATAATGAAAACAATTTTTTTTTTTTTAGATTTCTCACAGAAATGAACACGCATGATAAAAAAAAAATTGTTGACGGTTGTGTTTTTTTAAAATATATATTTTATTCAGTTATGCCTAAATTTTGAAAGCAAAGTTTGTCTTTCAAAACAAATAAAACTGTTGCAGCGCTAGTTTTCCACTGCCATGCTCAAAGGTCTCACAGCAGGTTGCTCAAGTATTCACTTGATCTTCTTTTGGTTTTGTAGCTCTAGATTTTTCATTTGATTTTAAATAATGAGTCTACATGAAACACTTCAGATTAATTAAATTCAGTGAGAAAAATTATGTACTTTGTGGAAAAAAAATTTGATTTACAAATGATCAGGTGCAGGCTTCATCAATCTTTAACTTGAAACTGCAAATGAGAAAACAGTCAGTTTCATAAATTTTTTTTTTAAAAAAAGCAGACTGTTGGGAACATTAGAGACGACCAAACAAGAAAACAGTGTCATGGTCAGATGAGATAAAAACAAAAGTTTTGGCCATCAAAATCAAAACACGTCTGCCATAAAACTGTCGTCCCTTCAGTGAAGCACGGTGGTGGCAGCATCATGATGTCAAGATGTTTTTCAACAGCAAGGATTGAAAAATAAAAAAAAATAGAGCAAAATACAGAAAAAGTCACAAGAGACTTAGAAATTAAAAACAGGGATGGAGGTCCATCTGCCTGCAGGACAATAACTTCAAGCATCCCGCTGAAGCAACTCTCCACTGGGTTGACCCTGCTGCTGCCCTAGGGTCAAAATACCAGGCCTCGTTCTATTTGGACGCAAGAGTGGCGGGAACGTTCGGTAAAACCAGTTCAAGTCCAGAGAGTCTCTGGTTTGATTTAAAGATTGTTGAATCGAAGAAGCTCCTGAGCAGGTTCTCCAAAGTACATGGCAACATTTCTCACCCACCTGTTCTGTGCTTTATACTTTGCACTCAACACCTTTATACGCAGTTCAGTTTATTTCTATAGCACCAAGTCACAACAGAACACTCTATTCAAAAATACTTTATTAATCCCAGAGGGAAACTAAATGTAGTTGTTCTAGATGATGGCTGTGGGCAGGAAGGACCTCTTGTAGTGGCTTGTCTTACAACGGATCTGAAGAAGCCTCTGACTGAAGACACTCTGCTGTTGTATGACGATCTGATGAAGAGGGCCACTCAAAGCACTGTACAAAAACATTCACACACATTATAAAAGCCAATTAATAAAAGTTATCTGTAAGGAAGGAAGCAGCAGATTGTGTTGAATCTTCACTTTGTCGCAGTCTCCCATCCTGAGCAAGCACAAAGGAGACAGTGGGAAGGAAAAACTCCCTTTTAACAGGAAGAAACCCCCAGCAGAACCAGGCTCAGGATGAGCAGTCATTTGCTTTGACCCGCTGGGTTTGTGAGAACAGGACAGGAAGGAGGAACAAACAGAACGACAGGTCCAGGTGAAGTTTCTATAGGAGGAAAGACAAAAACACGTTCGGATAGAAATAATTACAAATACAAACAGGTAGAGCAAATAAAGACGGCAGCAGAGAGAGGACATGTCAATTTGTCCTCCAGTAGTCCAAGCCTATAGCAGCATAATTAAGGGACAGCTCAGGAAACCCAAGCCGACCCTAACTATAGGATTTATCGTAAAGGAAATACTTAATCCCAGTCTTAAAACTGGACAATGTGTCAGTCTCACGGACAGAAACTGGAAGTTGGTTCCACAAGAGAGGAGCCTGAGAACTGGAAGATCTGCCTCCCATTCTAGTTTTGGAAACTCTAGGAACCACAAGTAAACCTGCAGCCTGAGAGCGAAGTGCTCTGTTTGGAAAATATGGAACAATAAAATCTCGAATATAAGATGGAGCTAGGTTGTTGAGAGCTTTGTAGGTTAGAAGTGAGATTTTGAATTAAATTCTGGACTTGACAGGGAGCCAGTGGAGAGAAACTAAAACTGGAGAGCTATGATCTCTCCCACTAACTCCAGTTAAGACTCTGGCAGCAGTGTTATGGATTAATTGAAGACTTTTTAATAACATATTTGGACACCCAGATCATAAACCATTACAATAGTCCAGTCTAGACGTGACAAATGCATGGACCAGTTTTTCTGCATCATTTTTAGATCAGATGTTTCTAATTTCAGTGATATTACTCAGGTGGAAGAAGGAGGTTCTAGTAACGTTTTTAATGTGTTGGACATGTCCTGATCAAAATAACACCAAGGTCTTTAACATTAGAGCTGGAGGACAGATTAATGCCATCCAGATGAAGTGAAAGGCTGCAAAATTTATTCTTAAAATGCTCAGGTCCAAAAACTCAAACCTCCGTCTTGTTTTTCATATTCTCTCTTGTACAGGCTGAGCATACTGGGGGCAGTGTGGGTACGTCGGCACGCTGCAGGTGTTTGGGATCAAACCCTAAATGTCTGATATGAAATATGCACATGAAATATCATCCTATGCTGACTGAGCTCCTGTAGTCAATCTAGAAAGAATGTTGTGTTCGCTATCAGCCACGACTCACCTGAGGTTTAGTGTGACTTTAGCTCAGCATTTTCTCACACAGAGGCCTCGTTCAGAGCTGAAGAAATGAATTGATAACCGTCTGCCTCAAGGACGCTCACTGATTATCAATGATAGTAGGGAACAACGTCCACGCTGGCCGTCTTCTTGTCTGTCTGTAACATTACACAACCCTTCCCTAATCAATGACCTGCTGTTACTGGAGATCCGATCAACCCGTTCCCTGTCCGAGCTTATCTGTGGCATCTTGTCTTCAGAGGCAGGAGCAGCACTTTGGACATCATGCGGTCTTCCTTCACGCAGAAGATACCGAACATAAAAACCTGGCAAATTTATTTATGGAGCACTTTAAACTGCCTCACGGTTTTCAAAGAAGGGCGCAATAAAAAAAATAATCCTGTTATCAGCTGCAGGAAGGCTTGTTGGGTTAACAACCCAGCAGCTGCAGATGGACAGTGTTTAGATCAAGGTCAGCAGCATCCAGAAGGTTTTCTCTGGACTGAACCTCAAGGTCACGCTATTAACACAGACTGATGGAAGACAACATAAAGGAACAGATTGGTTGACAGAAAGCAGGTCCATTAAATCACTGGTTATTTTGATTTTGATCCAGAAACACCAGCAAGTCAAACGCTTTCTAGAACCCTTAAATACAGAACATATTCAGAGCCTTTTAAATTAATGCAAACGTGAACTGCAGCTTTTCATGTGCTGACCAAAAAAAAAAAAAAAAAACCCTCAATAATGTACAACTAGAATGAATATTTAATCAGGTTGTATAAAAAATAATACAAATGTTGTATTAAAATGATAAAAGTTCATCATTTTCTGAGCAATTTCCTGCAAAGTCTGACTGCTCAGTTCAATATTTAAGAATAGTCGATATAAGTAAGTGATTAAAACGCTGCCAGGGGAACGAGGAATGCCAGAAAAGCTAACTGCACCGTTTTATTTCAAAGAACATTAATTTTCTAAACCCACAATAAACTGGTTAATTTACATGTAATTATTGCAATTTAGAGATTTTATTAATGGGCTCAGTTTAAATTTTGATATATCTTTAACTTTATTTAACTAATTATTTCAAAGTGGCCTGTGTGCTCCAGTCAGCAACAGAAATAAACAAAGTTCTTTCAAAAAGAACGAAAGAAAGAATTGACATTTATATGAAACAGAACCAAGCGTAAACTTCAGGTCAGCCAGGTGAGGAGCTGCAGCTCCTTCAGGTAAATTGGGGGCAATAAATCTGATGGGAGGTTTTAAAGTTCTGCTCATGCAGCAGGTGGACTCACTGCAGCACGAACCTGTCAAGGTAAGAGTTATTTCCTGATTAATAACATAATTAGTGTACGGAATACAAGTCCCTCAATTTCCTTTTTACAAATTATTTTTAATCAATTTGTAATATTCGTTATAAAGTCTAATATATTATATTTATTATTTATGAGGCATTCAGCAATGATTTTTAGTTACAGACGGTTTAACTTATGTGCAAATTTACCAGTAGAGTGTTTATTTTGCATTAGATTAAGCTTTAATCATCTAAATGTAAGACTTAAATGATAAAATATAAAAAAGGTGTTTTACTGGGTGTTGAAGGCAGAATGCTGACAGCTTTGGTCACGAGCAGCATTTTTTAATAAGGGCCGCTTTTTATGCAGCATGTGCGCTTTGCTGCCCTCTTGTGGCAAAGAGAGGAACAGCAAGAATGAACAAAAATTTTTTTCTGTGCAGCCAACAGGAACAGAGTTTTAAATAATGCAAACGTTAGAGAGAAACAAATACTTAAAAAAAATACATGATAATTTGGATTTTAAAGTCATTAAATAAATTAAAAACAACGATCAGACTTGAGGCCTTTCTACCAACAGCTTCACTGTAAGCAATTGTATGCAGACCAATTTTTAAAAATATATTTTACTAAAGTATACGAAGTAAAATTTACTAACAACATCATGATCAAATGTTATAAAATATATGTTGTGTGTATAAAACAACATTTCTATCATGTGGTTGAAAGAAAACTGATCAGTTATTGAATATGTCACAATCTTCTCATGTTATAAACTCATTTACTTTTGAGGAAGACAAGATCACAGAAAACAACACTAATCTATTAGTCTAAAAATATTATAAAATACTTTACAACTTATTAAGTTTTTATGAAGTAAGACTTTATATAAATGTAATTTCCCCAGCTCTCTTTATTTACCTGACTGCACAAGCTTGATGTTTATTTATTTATTTTTAGAGTTCTGCTACTTTCAGTGTAATTTATCAGAAGTCAACGTCATTGCAGTTTTATTTTAATAATGCAGGTTTATCAGTGTTTGCATCCATTTTCTATTGATGGTTTGTCTGCCATGTTGTCTCCGTGTGTCCAGATGAGACGCTGCGTTGCTGTTGTCCTGGTGGTTCTGCAGCTCTGCAGCCCGGCGCTGCAGTCCGACCTGCTGCTCCACATCTCTCAGCTGCAGGGCGGCCAAGAGCAACCAGGAAGTGAGTCACACTTCAGATTCATGTTGATAGGCATCTCCATCTGTGTTCCTGCAGGGAAACCTTTCAGATTACTGGTTTTATTTTGTGGCTGCAATGTTTAGGCAAAAACTGAGTTGACACCAGAACCCGTCAGTATCTTATAAGAGTTTAAAGTGTGACAATACTTTTATTGGTTTATTGATCTGATGTGTTTAAAGGTTTTGAGTCAGCGGTGCTGTATCTATGAGGCAGATGCAGTCTGAACAATTTGTTCAGAGAAACAGAGAGACATTTATTAGAGTGAATCAAGTTAATGCATTCCAGAGGGATTTTTCACCATCCAAAACAGTTTCAACTGCAATACTCGTACTATTTTTACCAAACGTTTAACTTCTCATGTGAACAGCCCTGACATATTCTGTCTGAATCCGTCAGGAGTTTTCTGCATCTTTAACCAAAAGTTCTTCTGTTTCGTTCAGTTCAGAAATATATTCTCTTATGAATCTGCACAGGAAAAAACACTGTCATTGCTTTAGTATTCGAGCATTCAGTCATGTGTTCTTGGGACTAAACTGGTGCCACAACTGATCAGGATACGTAAAATAGGTTTAGACTAAAATAAAATGTTTTACCATGCTGAGACATAGGATTTGCATGAAAACTGTAAAAGTATGGGATCAGAATAAAACCATAACTTGATGTACTTAATGAATAAAATGTGACTCTTTCTAGACATGTGAAAAATGGCCTGATTGCTGGAGTTTACTTTTTCAGAAAAAGCCAAAAAAAAAAAAAAAAGAAACACAGATAAGAACATCAGGGGTGTGTTGCAGATTAAATCAGCTTTAGATTAAGCCTTACTTTTAATCACTTACCTTGGTTGTACACCAACACTTGTTTGTCTTCTTCTCTAGAGCTATGGCTTAATCCCACTCTTGAAAACGTGGTTCCTTCCCGTGACGTCTCCAACCCTCCACAACTCAAAGAGTTACCTAAAACAGAAACAACATCCAACTCCGACCCCATGTTTGGTGAACACGTCAACCTCAAGTGGGTCACGTGGAATGGCTCCCTTCCAAACGGGGCTGTTGCCATCTTCAACGGCTACACAGAACGCACCGACTATGTGTGCAAAGTCAACTGTGAGGCGGGCTTCTACACTCCTAGTAAAGGAAGCTTCTGCCAGTACCCCTATGCTGAAAAAGAATATGCTTCCTCCAAGTTTGAGGTCCTGGTCAACGTAGACCACTTTGAGTTCCTGATGTGGGTTGAAGATTCATATGGGTCGGTTCCTCAGTATTCCATCAGAACCTGTCCCAACTCAGACATCTACGTGGGTAAGAACAAGTACGGACTTGGCAAAGTGGTGACCCGACATGAAGCTTTCTTCCTCCCCTGGGAGGGCGATGAGTACTGGTATAAGAAGTACCAGGTCCTTGCTATCAACAGAGACAGCTACAGCCAGCACATCTCTCACGTGGAGTACGCCATCGACCAGATGAAGCTATTCCACCATCCTCCAGAGGCACTGAAGCTCACCAAGGTCACCAACCTGGAGTGCCGGAATGTAGAGAAGAAGGTGTCACTGGAGAAGACCACCACAGTGGAGAAGACCTGGGACATTGGTAGGGAGACCCGTAACGGTTCTGTGTCCACTATGAAAGCCAAAGTACCCATCCTTGGTCCGGGCAATGTGGACTTCACCAAGGAGCAGACAGTGACCTTCTCAGAGGGAACCACCGTGGTGGAGTCCATCAGTCATACGGTGTCTGTAGAGCTGATGGTTCCACCAAACCACTCGTGCTCGGTGAGGATGGACGGCAGGAAGATGACGGCGGACATCCCGTTTACCGGCAGGCTGAGCAGGACAAACCATAACGGAGACACCCACTGGACATACATCACCGGCACCTACGACGGCGTGAATGTCGGGGAGCTCAACGCTGTGGTGGAGAGGTGTCAGCCAGTGCCTGATGCACCTCCCTGCCCCCCATCTCAGTGATCAGCTTGTTGAATTTACAGCTGAAGGGTTAACGCTGCTTGTAAAACAATAAAAACAACAAAACTTCACAAATAATCCGTCTTTTTTATACAAAATGATTTTCACCTTACATGACTCATGAGTCCATTAAAGATTAAGCATTTCCCTCTTTAACTTTCCAGGTGCTTGTTGTGTTTTTTATGTACAGTAATTAAATTTACCAATATTTCTCAATTCCTTTCACTTCAATTGAAGGACATGGTTTACTTAAATCACACAAGTCTAAATCAACAGAAACAAAAACATAGGAATTCATAATGCATTGTATTGGTATCAAATAAGACCTTGGGGGGTTAATTTTAACTATGTTGGAAAGAGTCATCCAAGCTTGGTAACACAGGACAAAGTCTGTAGTTTTGATTAAAAATATGTAAAGATAAATGTGAATTTGTGCTTTAAATGTAAATTTCTTAAGCATTTCTAATATTAATAAAAGTAAACAAGACAGAGTACGTGTGTGGTCCAGTAAAATACTTAGGAATGACTCCTGTATTTGGCCCCATCCATCTTCCCATCAATTCTGACCATCTTCCCTGTCCCTGCTGATGAAAAGCAGGCCCAAACCATGATGCTGCCACCACCATGTTTGACAGTGGGGATGGTGTGTTCAGGGTGATGAGCTGTGCTTCTTTTACGCCAAACAAACATATCGTTTTGCATTGTGGCCAAACAGTTGGATTTTGGTTTCATGTGACCAGAGCACCTTCTTCCACATGTTTGGTGTCTCCCAGGTGACAAACTTTAAACAACACTTTTTATGGATATCTTTGAGAAATGTCTTTCTTCTTGCCACTCTTCCATAAAGGCCAGATTTGTGCAGAGTACGACTGATTGTTGTCCTATGGACAGACTCTCCCACCTCAGCTGTAGATCTCTGCAGTTCATCCAGAGTGATCATGGGCCTCTTGGCTGCATCTCTGATCAGTCTTCTCCTTGTTCCAGATGAAAGTTTAGAGGGACGGCCGGGTCTTGGTAGATCTGCAGTGGTCTGATACTCCTTCCATTTCAATATGATTGCTTGCACAGTGCTCCTTGGGATGTTTAAAGCTTGGGAAATCTTTTTGTATCCAAATCCGGCTTTAAACTTCTCCACAACAGTATCTTGGACCTGCCTGGTGTGTTCCTTGGTCTTCATGATGCTCTCTGCGGTTTGAACAGAACTCTGAGACTATCACAGAGCAGGTGCATTTATACGGAGACTTGATTACACACAGGTGGGTTCTATTGATCATCATCAGTCATTTGGGACAACATTGGATCGTTCATAGATCCTCACTGAACTTCTGGAGTGAGTTTGCTGCACTGAAAGTAAAGAGGCCAAATAATATTGCACGCCCCACTTTTCAGTTTTTATTTGTTAAAAAAGTTTTACACATCCAATAAATTTCATTCCACTTCACGATTGTGTCCCACTTGTTGTTGATTCTTCACGAAAAATTAAAATTTTATATCTTTATGTTTGAAGCCTGAAATGTGGCAAAAGTTTGAAAAGTTCAAGGGGGACGAATACTTTCTCAAGGCACTGTATATGTACAACAGTAAGACATCAGCTACTGTTTGAAAACCATTTGGTCTGCTTTGGTCACATTACATCTGTATTACAATTGAATACTCCATCTGTACTGTTTTCTAAGCTTTTTTTTATTGTTTTCTATTGTATGGGTGTACACATGTTTTATGTTATGTTTTCATTTTTACTTTATTTTACTTTATTACTATTCGCACCTTTATGTCGAAGCAAATTCCTAGTTTGTGAACCTCTGAACCTCGTTCATTGACATGGCAATAACAAACTGATTCTGATTCTGATTACTGCAACATCTCTGAGTGAACCAAGAGACTCACCTTGTCCTCGTTTCCCTCTAAGCGTCGAAGCTGCTGCTGCACCTGTAAATAAAGTTCACTTACTTTTGTACGTCTGGCTCGGTCATTCCTTCTCAGTCTGCTTTCTTGGGGTCAACATTACTACTGACGTATCTAAGTTTTGATTATAAACTACCCACAAAAAACAGGTTTTTAACACTTGAAAGGCTGTAGCTGTTACACTTTCTAGATTTTTTCAAGCTTTGCATAGTTTTTTATCCCATTCTTCCTGACAAATCATTTCAATCTTAAATAGACTAAATAATTAGCTCATATGAAATGCAGTGAAAGGAGTATTATTTGAATCAACTGTGATAAAACAAGAAAGCATCAAAGATTTCTTTTTTTCCCCCAATCAAACCTCCAAACCTCCAAAACAGCAAAGTGGAATGTGTTCATCTTGTACCTAAAACACATCTGCATTTTCTTATCTATACAGTCCCCCTGTGGATCCCAGATCTGAAGGGATTGGGGATCTAAAATCAGAAATCTGAACAATCCCAACAGCCTAATGCATTTTGCCTCCTACTAAATCAAAACACATAAAGTTAACTTCACACACCTTCAACTAAATTAGCTAACTGTGATGGAAGAAATGGAGTCATTTTAAAACTTTCTAGTGCATGACTAAAGCCCATGCAATAAAAAAGATGAATGAATGTCTCCTGCTTAGCTGTCCCTTGATGCAGAGTGAAAAGGGGGAATTGGAAATGCCCTCCATCTATCTATCGCTCTATCCCTCTATCCAGAAGGCTTCATCAGTCAAGGAAACACACAACAAAACTGATTCTTCCCTCCTAACAGCTTACTCCAAAGTGGAACAAACCAGTTATGTTGGTGCTAAGATGGTGCCTTTGGCACGCCCCCTCCTCTTGTGCTGGCCCTCTTCCTCGTCGACAGTCATGTCAAACTGATTCAAAACCAAAAAAAAGTCCATGCTCCATAATCCAGGTATACAATCCAACAATTTTTAGTCAGGTCATCTGGACAGTTTCCTTTTATGCTGAAACTTGTTTTTTTCTGAAACAAACCAGTTATGTTGGTGCTAAGATGGTGTCTTATTTATTATTGATCATTATTGACAACATTTCTACTAGAAACTTTGAAAGAGCTCAAAATTATCGAACGCCTTGATGGTTGAAAGTGTCAATCAGGAAGTGCAGTAATGTCACCAACATCTGCGCGGGTCCATTTTGGACGCTCGGGTTTGTTTATGTTCATCACTGCAATTATGTTCACTCCTGTTTGATATCAGTCAGACCTCCATTGCTAGACTACAACTGGTCCAGAATGAGGCAGCCCAATTTTTAACCAGTGCAGGCAAAAGAGAGCACATTACACCAGTTTTGGCCTCCCTGCACTGGATACTGGTTCACCTTGGAATCCAGTTCAAAATACTCCTGTATGTCTACAAATCACTGAACAGTTTCACCGTTGGAACAATCGTCTGTCTCTCCATCACCTGCAGTTAGTCCAGAATGCAGCACGATGGCTCAGTGGTTAGCACTATTGCCGCACAGCAAGTAGGTCCTGGGTCCAATCCCTGGTTGGACCTGGGGTCTTTCTGTGTGTAGTTTGCATGTTCTTCTTATGCTTGCGTGGGTTTTCTCCAGGCACTCCGTTTTCCTCCCACAGACTAAAAACATGCATGTTAGGCTGCCTTCAGGCCGAGGCCTCCCTTGTAAAAGAGATCTGTGATCTCAGTGGAATTTGCCTGGTTAAATAAAGCTTAAATTAAAAAAAGAATAATGTTGTTGCGCGTCTTTTAACAGGAACTAGAAGGCAGGCAATTCCTACATGTGTCCAGTTTCACTACTTTTTTGTCTGTCTAAACAGATCTCACTTGTAAATGAGTCTTCTAGGCTCAATGTGACTTATCTGTCTAAAGAAAGTATCCTGATGCATGCTCTTTTTTAGATGTCTAAATAAAGGTTGAATGAATGAAAAAAGGACGACATAGCTCCTGATTTATCCGACTTACACCGGCTACCTGTTCCTTTTCGTACTGATTTTAAGATTATTTTACTGACTTTTAAAGATTTATATGGCTTGGCACCCAGTTACTTAATGGATCTTTTGCATTTTTATAATCCAAACAGAACACTGACATCCTCCAATCAGATGCTTTGAGCGCAGCCAAGGGCAACATTATAACACAGAGGGATCGGGGTCTTGTTGTGGCAGTCCCCAGATTCCTGAACAATCTGCCCATTGATATTCGTTCTGCAGAGTCCATACAGTCCTTTCAATCCCGCCTAAAAACTGTTTTTTGTTCAGGTTTTTAACTCATGTTTGGTTTGAATTCCATCGCTATTCTCTTGTTTTAGTTTGTTCTTAGCCCATTTTATTATACTTGTGTTTTCATGTTTGATCTTTCGTTTATTTTATTGCCAATTTCTTGTTTGTGAAGCACTTTGGTCAACATTGTTTTTAGCAGCAGTACCTTCATCTTCAGTCAAGCTCCATGTAGCTGTCTCCTGCTCTGAGCTCCACGTCCTGGTCCCAGGCTCAGCTCCACCTATTTTAGCCCATTCTAAAAATGATTATAATCTAAAATATTCATCCACAATTCTCTAATTTTTAGGAGCCCACGACCAAAAGGTCAAAGGAAGACGATGATTTTTCTGTTTTGTTGTTTAGTCTACATGTGCACGTGAGTGTGTTTGTCTGTTAGTTAGCAAAAATATCTGTTTCTTGATGAAATGTGCTCGAAACAAAAAGAATCTGTCCAGAGGACCTGACTTCACTTTGTTAGTCAGAGTCAGGTTCTTTATTGTCATTCGCACATGTGGTACATGTGGTGGAGCAAAACTATGTACACAGGGTCCCAGTTACTTCCAACAATAAAATGTAAAAGAAAAACAAAGATAACAGCTAAGATGTGAACTAAGAAACATGTGTGAGCAGATAAGCACACATGAACACAGCAACATTGAAACAGATCAGCAGCAACATGGAACAGATCAGCAGCAACATTAAACAGATCAGCAGCAACATGATGTGATTTTTCACAGTGATTATTCTGGTTAGAGATTCATGAGTCTAACAGCCTCAGGGTATAAGCTGTTCCTCAGTCTAGTGGTTCTACACTTAATGCTCCTCAACCTCCTTCCTGAGGAGAGCGGGGTAAAAAGTGTGTGTGCTGGGTGAGTGAGGTCCTTCATGATGCAGGTGGACCTCTTCCTGCATCTGGAGGTGTAGATGTCTGTGATGGTGGGGAGACTGACTCCAACATCTTCTGTGCAGCCTTCACCACTCTCTGCAAAGCTTTTCTTTCTGCAGCTGTGCAGCCTCCATGCCACACATTGATGCCGGAGCACATGATGCTCTCCACTGCACACCTGAGAAGGAGGTTAGAGTCTTTGTTTAGCTTTTAACTGATTTGACCACCCCTGTCTTTTCAGGAAATGTTTTTTTTACTTTTCCCAACCAAATCAAATCAAAAAGCCAATGCTCTGATCATTGTTTATAGTAAATACCAATGTTCAGATTATCTTTTCTAAATTAATGCCCAGTGTTGCGTTGCTGTTTTGTCTCTATTTACGTGCATCACATCTTTTAAAGTTTTTTTTTTTTAACCAACTGTTGCTCTCTTGAGCAGTGATGTGACATCAAAACGCCCACGTGTGTCTAAATAAATATATTGAATTTAAATTGTGTTTCTTGCTTTAGTAATGGCTTTCATTCTCGCAACATGAGATACCTGTCTGTGATACAGCGCCATATTATACCACGTTTCTGTGTATTTATTGATAGTTTCTGAAATCGTGGCATCACAACAATGTATTAAGAGGCGGATAAATTAAAGCAAACACCTTTTGAAGTCCTAGGTGTAAAATGCACATCCTGCCACTGCACAAAACAGAGTGCCTGTATACACAGGCAGCACAACTTGTGTTACTGTCATTGTCTTCAAAAATATACATTAATATCACATTTACATAAAAAGATATGACCAGTGAACACACAACTGTAATGATTCAGAAAACTTTAGAAAATAATTGAAATATGAATGTTTAAAGAAGACAGTCATATATGGATACATGGATACAGAGACTCTGCTTCTTCAGGCGGCTGAGTCGAGCTGGTCTGGGAAGCTCAGTCCTCACCTCCTTCTACTGGTGTGCAGTGGAGAGCATCCTGTGCCTAAACTGATGCCCTAAACAGGTTGCAAGTCCATCACAGGGAAGGCCCAGTTAGGATATCCACATTGGGTCTGAGGCAAGAGACCGTCTCCACCACCGGTGAGAAGGACGCAGTTACATCGTCCGTCCTCAGCGGGTCAGAGCTGGACGAGCCTTCCTCTGCCTGCAGCCGCTCCACGTAGCTCTGAGGGTACAGCTCGGTGTAGCAGCTTCCATCTTTGTCAGAGGAGGGGGCGTCCTGCTCCAGCTGAGGTACGTTGAGATGCTTTCTGTGCAGAGTGCTGCTGGGTGAGGACATAGATCTGGTTGTGTCTGAGCACCAGGAACGGTTTGGAAATGGTTTCACATCGGCTGCCTGGCTGCTGTGGGGGCTTCGAGATGGTGAGGCTGGAGATGGAGGGAACAAAAAACACCGGTTTTGGTGGCAAAGCTTCTAAAAGACAATCACAGTGTGTAGCTTTACTTAAAGCCTAATAGTTACTCTTCATAACCAACATTTTACTTTGCTTATGTTGCTGAGGAAAGCTGTGGCTGCAGAGCTCCAAACAGGGCTGAGTTTGCTCGTTTTTTCCATTGAAATTCAACAGATAGGACCAGGGACGTCAAACTCACCTACAAAATGGGACAAACACTAACATCTTTCAGACCGAGGGCTAGTTTCAGTCGATTCGTGACCTCCAGTCAGAAACCTCACATCTTTTCTTGGTTGCAGGTTCCTCAACAAGAGATATGTTGGTCTCAGCAAGACATTGTTCCAATTATATTTTTAACATCAAACTTGGCCTACTATCATGAGAAGTCTGCACTAAATGAGGCGATAAAACTATTTTACTTTTAAAATATCATCTTGGGGGCCAGATAAGACATTAACAAGGGCCCTATTCGGCCCCCGGGCCTTGAGTTTGACACGTGTGTAAGCCAAAGTTTTCATGTGTAATTTTCATGTTTTTTTCCAAATCTGTGGAGCCTGAAAACAGACTGATATTGTGAACAGAACAAAATAAAATGGCACTTCAGGATTTATGCATCAGCATAATTTCTACCCTAAAAAAAACAAATAAAGTAATTTGCTTTTTATTTCCTCTTGGTAATTCTTGGTTTCCAACCATCTTTTTGCACCAGGTCATGTGTTTTGAGGAGAAACCCCCATGACTATTCTCCTCCCAGCTAACTAATCTCGCTCTTCCAGGGGAATGTTGAACGGTTTGTAACAGAGCTGTAAAAAAAGGCCTCGTCTTGCTAAGACTTGTCTGAAAAATCTTTCTAAAACAACATCCTGATGTCAAAACAACGACAACATGGCAGCAACTCCACTCCTGAATAAAAGCCCATAGAAGGAGCGTCACCCGCTTCCTTTCATGACAGAGATTTAAACCAAGAGCAGCTGTGGTCAAATATGGAAAATTACAATTTATGTGTTTTCAAGCTACATCTCTTGTGTGATCTGTTAGCGGCTGTATGCTCAGCTACTACCACGCCAAATTTTAGCTCAATATTTGTCAAATTAACCAAGTTTCTGTGTTGACTATGATTTGATAAATTACTTTTGAGTGCCTAATTAAAATCTGAGATGAGATATTTCACTAACAAACACAACGATGAACAAAAACACCTCTTTTTTTCAGCAGCAGGTGATTTTTAGTCAACAGTTGTAAATAAACAGAAAAGATAAAAATCTTACTTTGCACGAGAGCTGTTTTTTTTGTTTTGTTACCACCTTTTTTATGACTAACAGTCAACCGTTGCAGCATAAAGTCCATAAAAAGAGTCCGTGAACTTTACTTTCAGTTAAATATGTCATAAAGTTCTTGCATCTAAAGCACAGATCTAAAGATGAACATGCAAAAATCAGACAAGAAGGTAACTTTCATTATAAAAAGGGGATTTTATTTGTTCTTTGCTCACACATCTAAACTTTAAGACACAGTATGTAGTATTAATTATTAACTTTGAAAGTAAACTATTGCTTAAAACCTTTTGTGTGTTGTTAAAAACGCTTCATGTCTTCTTCCTGCTCAGTCCTGTTAACATAAAATCTGCTTTAACGGAGTTACACGACCGTTCTTTTCATGATCTTATCATTCCCCTTAACGTCTCTGATTCAGTTTATTGTTAATTATCTCGTGCAATCACTTATTGATTGATGTTATATAGTCTTTGCATGTGCAGAACATCCAGTCTGTTTGGTTAAACGCTGACCTTCAACTTACACTCATCTCACAGCACCTTTACGTACTGTACTACCTCCAACTCTTTCCTGTTAGGGAGATGATCAGAGCCCTAAACCCCAGAGAACCACAGAGAAGATTCAGGCAGAGACACAGAGGTGCAGATGTCTGCATCATCCCTACCTCAGTGAATCCACTGACCTGCTGGTGGGATGTGAGGGACAATATGTCAGTGCTGTCAAACTGACAACCAGGTATCTGTGTGTGCAACAAGCATCATCTACACCCTCAGAGTGAACACTTCCTACTGCTGGAGACACCATCAGCCAGGAGCAGCTTGTTTGTGTCCAGAGAAAACAGACATGTTGATTTTTCTGAAGAAAAACTGTGAAGTGAAAATGTCCTCAGTGTGTAGCAGTGAGCATTAGACACTGACCTGTCACTGGTTTGAAACTGTTCTTTTGAACTGGAAATGATTTGTTTATTTTAATGTAAGAAAACAGCTTGGAATAGAAATGCCAAAGTTAAAAAATAAAATTCACAATATGTACTGTAATGTGTAACATAACTTTATTCTTGTTAGAATTAATATTAATTACAAAATTGGTATCGAAAAAAGAACCGTCCAGGAACTGACACCGAATTGAAGGTACCGACACCGGTACCAATATTTTTAGAAAGGTACCCAGCCCTAGACTTGGCGTTGTATAAATAAACTGAATTGAATTGAATTGAAAATAATGTCATTTCAAAAATTTTGTTAAATACACAGTAAGTTCATTCCTTTTCATCATAAAGTGATTTTTGGTAAAATGTATGAAAGGCTTTTTACAAGCAGGTAGATGTTTAACAATCCATTAAAATTCACCAAAATGCAGGAAATCACATCTACTTTATTCAAAAATTTATAGAGAAGGCCTGGCAATACATTTATTATGTTCCTTATGTGAATAAGTGGCTTTTGATACTGTTAATTTTCTCAAAACTAACTTTTGGAAATTGAAATTAAAAATGTTAATTAAGTCTGTCTTAAATGAAAAATGCCCCGTGTTTAAAAGTATAAAAACTGTATTAACACTTAAAGAGCAGGTCTTCAGTATCAATGTTACACAAATATTTTCCATTGTTAAAGAGACAAATTGACTCGCAGAGACTCTCAGTCTCAGTGCCAACACCCACTGGGTTGCTCTGACTGTTAGAGAAGGAAGTCAGACCAACATCTGCCGTGACGGAGACTGGATGCACTAACGACGAGCTCCCGCTCAAACGTGACATTCCTGCTGGCTGCAACGCTCTCAGTAAGTTTTTACATAAGACAGTGACAGGCAGCGGTAGAAATGTAGGGATACAGCAGTTAGGCAAAAAGATCTACGTTACATAATATTTTTAAAAGCAAAGTTTTAATTGTGTTTTTAAACCATGTTTTGTAAAATGAATGCAGTTAAATCCTGATTAGTTACAGTTTTGAATGTCACACAGGACCGGAGATTTTAAGTTGACGAGTCTGAACTTGCGTCTGAGCAATCCCACTGTAAAGAACAGATTTCATTAATTAAGAAAACAGATTAAATGTTTTGCAACAGACTCTTGGATACTCTGAAAATGGTTTTCTGATGCAGAAGATTATGACTGCCTCATGTTTTCCACAGGGCTCCTGGAAAAAAAACTTAGTTTGGTTTATTAAAACTAAATGTTCCAGAGTTTTCAAATTTTTTTTCCATATGTTTAAAATTTGTGACCTCTTTCTGGTGTACTGTTACATTTTGGTTTGTAGTTTCTTTAACATTTCCATATCCACATCTACTTTTACATTAAAGTAAGATTTCTGTAGAAATACACAGCGTTGACTGGCTGCTGAAATCTGCTGACGAAGCTAAAATTAAAAGCAGCAAGAAAGATGCTGAAATGAGCAAAAAGTAGCTACATTTAGCAAAACTGTAGCTAAAAGATTAAATATATGCTTAAGCCAAAATGAAACAAATAGTAGATGAAATTAGCAAAACAATTGTTAAACTTAGCAAAACCGCAGCTGAAATTAGCAAGCAGCTAAAATGAACAAAGAAAATGCTAATGTTAAACACAAAGCTGTAGCTACAATGAGCTAAAGAATAAAAATAAAACCAGAATGATATCTAAATGCTAACATGAGTGAAATAAAGGATACAGTAATGCTAAAAAATAAACAGTATCTAAAATCTATAAGTAGAAAAATGACAGTTCAAAGCTGAAATTAGCATAAAAATAAACCAAAAATTAGGAAAGCAGATTTCAAATAAAATGTTTTGAAGAAACTGAGTTAATTTCAATGTATCTATAAAATATTTTTATTTAAAATATATTTTTTTATAGTATTAAAGTTACAAAAAGCTAAAGTCGTAGCACATTATTCCAGATTGAGCTGAACGTTTGATGTAAACATCAAAAAGCACAAAGAATTGCTGACTCAGCATTCACACGACATTATTACTGCCTTTAGGGGAACAGGGAACATTTTGTTCATTAAGTATTACATAACATCACGAGTCCTTTGGAAAGCTGCAGCTGCATTTTTTTTTTACAGTTTACTAAGAATAAAAGAACCCTTGAAACTTTATCTTTAAAACATAAAAGCACAGCTTCTAAACCTGCTTTCTGCCTACTAAGGCGTCTGCTAGGACACAAGTACATAAACATAGCTGTGAAACTTGAAACATCTAATAAATGCTTCTGTAAAGCTGCTGGGTTTTTCATGAATTTCTCCATTGTGGTTGTGTAATCAGTAAGCTGATACCGATCTGGAAGGTATGTCATTCAAACAAAACACTAACGTTTAAAAAAAGTGCACAAACTAGACACGTATTAATATCCTCATGCATGCTCATAATCCAGGTAGAACAATCTAAAAACGTTAAGTCAGGTCGTCTGGATGGGTTCAAAAACAACCCGTAGGCACGTATTAAGTTTCATTTAGACATACTGTACTGAACACTCCTGAAGGATAGATCCATAACAAAAAGACGGGATAAACCTCCATATTTTGTTATCAAGGTTAGTTTGGATTTGACTACTTGACTAAAGGTTAAGGGAAAATTTCACAAGGCATCAAGTCTGGATGGTTAAGCAACAGAAGTCTCGGTACAGTGAAGGTGAGGGCGGCTGTGGCTGAGTGGTTAGAGCAGTTGTCCTCCAATACAAGAGTTGGGGGTTCGAATCTACCAGCAGTCACTTGCCCAAGAGTCCCTGGGCAAGACACTGAACCCCTCATAGCCTCTGATGTGTGTCCCATCGGTGTATGAATGTGATAAATCACTGATTAGTCTCTTTGGAATGATTTGTCCAATTAGCTTTGTAGAAATCCAGTAGAGTGCTGTATGAATGGGTAAATGAGGACACAGATTATACTGTAAAGTGATTTGAGTGTCTTGATAAGATTAAAAAAGTGTTCAATACAAAATAAGATACTTGATAAGATAGAAAGGTGCTATATAAGAACAGTCCATTTACCATTTAATGTCTTCACATCTCTTGTCAGAATTTCTTTCAGGAATGTACCGACTGACCCTGGCGACACTTGCTGTGTTGCTCTGCAAAGCACTTTTGGTAAACAGTGGGAACGTCCTGGTGTTTCCATGGGAAGGAAGTCACTGGGTCAACATGAAAGTTATGATCAAAGAGCTTCACGCCAGAGGCCATGAAGTGACTGTGATACGTCCTTCAAACAGTTGGTTCATCGACGAAGACTCTGCTCTTTACAAGACAATCACTATCATGTCTCCGGGTGGTTTTGATTTGGACCTTGAGTCATTCATCACAAGAACACTGACAATGAGACGCCAAGGTCATTCATTGTGGACTCTTTTATCTCTAGTGTGTGATGAGATGACACAGTTCTATCTGATCCATAAGCAGATAATTGACATGATGGAAAATTTTTTTGAGGATACCAAACTGATGCAGAGCCTCCGTGATGCCAAATTTGATCTGGTTCTTACTGATCCTGGAACTGGTGGAGGAGTACTTCTAGCTCACCGTTTGGGTCTTCCACTTGTCTATAATGTCAGATGGACTATTCAGGGTGAGGGGCATCAAGCAATTGCACCCGCCCCTCTTTCTTATGTCCCAATACCAAGAGCAGATCTAACTGATAAGATGACATTTAGTCAAAGGGTTAAGAATTTTATGTTTTTCATATCGAGTCACATCTACATTTGGTTCATTTTAGATCCAAACTACAAACCTTTTGTCAGTCGTTATTTTGGCAGTGATGTACATTACATGGAGCTTTTTCAGGCAGCTGATATCTGGCTGATGAGAAATGATTTCACCTTTGAGTTTCCACGACCTACTATGCCTAACATCGTATACATCTCAGGGTTTCAGTGCAAACCCTCCAAACCTCTCCCTCAAGAGTTAGAGGATTTTGTACAGAGCTCTGGGGAACATGGTGTCATTGTGATGACACTGGGGACTCTGGTGGATAAACTTCCTGAGGACATCACTGAGGACATTGCTGCTGCTTTTGCAGAACTTCCCCAAAAGGTGATCTGGAGGTACAACGGCAAGAAACCATCCACCCTTGGCAACAATACTTTACTCTTGGACTG